GAGTCCACTAAAACATATGGTCAGCATCCAATGTCGAAAACTTACAGGGCTATTTATTTTGGGGATTTATTTACCGCTACAGGATTATCAATACGATCCAACAATAAACTAAAATAAAAAGAGAATCACTAAAGAGCCGAAACAAAATAACACGAGAGCTTTGGCATCTAGAATCACAACAAGGATTATTTATCTACGCACACGAAAACCCAATTCATCAACCGAGATGCAGTTCTCAATGGACTTATAATTCTCCATTTTTTGTTCATGAACGTTTGAGTAAGTAAGGAACTAATGACCTTGGAAAACGCACTAATTTAGTGTAACGCCGCACTGTTATGTGGCCCGAGGTTTTACTGTGCCTGTTTTCTTCAGCAATTTACTTTAATTCTTTGGGATGCGGATTCGTTTTTGATGATGTGTCTGCTATTAAAGACAACCAAGATCTACGCCCGTCTACAAGTTTAGCAGAGCTTTTCAAAAATGATTTCTGGGGGACTCCTATGAATGAGGTTTGATGAAAATCGTTCTAAGTATTATTTTCTTAGGAAAGAAGCCATAAGTCATATAGGCCGTTCACTGTCCTCACATTTAGAGTTAACTATTTGTTTCATGAACTTAGTCCTTCAGGATATCATGCCACAAATATCGTCCTTCATTCTGTCGTCGTGTTTTTGTTTTTCAAGTATCTTTGGGTTCTGAATAACACTTTAGATTGTGTTTGTGCTATTTGCAGAGGGAATCAGCGTTTTTCAGCTCTATTTTATTCTCTGCACATCCTGTTCACACGGAAGCTGTATGAAGAAATTAGCTAAAAAATATTTTTAGGTTACTGGAGTTGTAGGAAGAGCTGAACTTCTATCCTCGGTTTTTTTCTTATCTGCTTTACTGCTTTACATAAAAGTTTCGAATGCTTCTGCACAAAGTAAGTTTCATTTACGGTTTTCATAATGTGCTTTCTTAGCCAGTGTTCGTCCTTAGGCGTTTTTGTCATTCCACATTAAAATATTTTGATCAGTGACACATATGTTTCACGGTTGTCCTTACGTTAAAGGAATTATATGACTATGTATATCGGCTGTAATGAAGATACTTCATAAAATGTTATAAGATGTACATGAAAAAATAAAAACAATCGACATTAATGAATGTGGTTCAGACACAAATAAGATAAATTCCATTTAGCTTGGAATCCCCCAAAATTTGTGAAGAATACAAAACAAAGGAGCTACAGCACTCACTTTCAATCAAAGTAGCTTTTCACAAGCTTCTGGTTTGTATCATTTGGGACCTTATCAAAAAACCAAATGAAATGATGAGTTTCGACAGCAGACATGTATCCCTATAGGAACGATGTGCGTTATACTTAAATCGGCATGCATTTTGTTTGGTTTTATCAAACCCTTCGTAAGATTTTTGCATTATCTGTAAAAGGCGAAAGTGACTAAGTACGCTGTATGGTTAGGACTTTCTTTTGGGTTCCATAATTGTTTTATGAGTTCTTCATTTTTTGAATTGCAATTTTACTTCTGCTGTGGACTTCTTGTATTTAGCTCCATCCTACCCTTCTAGTTTTCCTCCTAGGTTTGACAGTTCGGGGTTATGAAGTGCTGTTTCTGCTTTTTCAGAAATATCCGTATCCTCTCACGCAACTCAGATAAAATAAAAGACAATTTCTACTCATAATTTTCTAGTTTCCCTTAGAAAGCTAGATTTACGGATATATTGACTGGCATTTTTAAAACCAAGGAAAACTCAAAGGAAATTCGACTGTAGACCGGTAAGAAGCTTGCGTAATAATGATCATATGCAGTGGTGGTTGATAAAAGCAAAAGAAAGGAGAAATATGGCATCTTTAATAGTTTTCGGACGATACTGAAAGGAAGTCTGCTTACAGTATATTAATGAGTTTATAATCTGGTTTTATCAACTGATGGAGTAGTGGTCTTTATTAATCATTCACAATCGGTATTTTAACGATCATTCGTTAACTCTGTCTTGAATGTCATGGATTAGGGTGTACTTCCTAAACAAACCTCTGGGCTGAGAATAACAAATAAAATCTATATTGATACATATTAAGTTGTGACACACTATTTAAAAAATATACTTACGAGAGGAAATCTACTGACTTTTTCAGTCACTGATAGCTTGCAAATAAATGATAATCAGTCAGTCAGTCAGCTACAACGTAGGACCAGGCACATGTATGCATCGGCCCAGGTTGCCATACCTCATTAGCACAGCAAGATGAACACCGGATTCATAGGAGTGGTTAGGTCAAAGGTGGTAATATATAGGAGAAAGATTGCAATAAGGATATAGTATAGGAAGAAAGAATTAGTTCGTAGAAAGAAAGATGTGAAGTGATCTTAATCTCTTAGTTTAAGAGAAGACAGAGAGTGTATACACCGACGCCATTGTGATCGATTCTGAGCCATGTCACCAAGGGTCTCCAACCATTGGTTACGAAAGTCACGCGGACCCCAACCAAGTAGTCTGCATCTACCAACATGGCTCAGACTAGAAGTTAGTGACTTCAGGCACTGATGCCACGTTTTGGTTTGGCCGCCCCTAACTTTCTTCCAACCATCCCCTACACCGGTTAGCATTGCACGTCGCGGTAATCGGTGTTCAGGCATACGTAATACGTGGCCCAACCATCTCAGTCGATGAAGATTCATAACCTCATCAACTGATTTACCATCATTCCCTAATACCCTGCGTCTAACCTCACTATTACTTACCCGGTGATCCCAGCAGATGCCAGCAATATTTCTAAGGCATCTGTGGTCAAATACTAGTAGCTTACGGGTGTCTTCTACTCTTAAGGGCCATGTTTCGCTGCCGTAAATTAAAACAGAACGGACAGCCGCGCAGTATACTCGTCCTTTTATTGATAGACGGATATCTCGCCTCCGCCAAAGGTGACGTAAGTTGGCAAAAGCCAAACGAGCTTTACGAATCCGTGCTGAGATTTCGTCAGACACCAACCCATTAGGGCTGATCAGACTTCCAAGATAAGTGAAGTTGTCAACTCGTTCGACTACTTCACTCCCTATCCTTAGTTCAGGTGTTGACGCAGACCAGTCCTGAAGCAACAACTTGCATTTAGAGGGAGAGAAGCGCATCCCAAACATTCTGGCATTGTTGCTTAGTGCTACCAGAAGACTCTGCATTTTGTCAGCGTCTTCACCAAACAGGACTATGTCATCTGCATATTCTAAGTCGATAAGTGGACCTCCTGGAAGGAGATCAATACCCGAGAATTCAGTCGACGAGAGTGTTATTTCCATCAATAGGTCTATGATGAAGTTAAACAAAAATGGAGAAAGTGGGCAGCCTTGACGGACACCACTTGAGGTTGCAAAAGTAGATGACAGTTCGCCATAAGCCCTGACTCGACTAGTAGTGTTCGAGTAAAGAGCCTTCACAAGGTTTATGTACTTCTGAGGTACGCCTTTCAATGACAGACACTGCCACAGAGTCTCGCGGTCTACAGAGTCAAATGCTGCTTTTAAGTCAAGAAAGACCACCATCGTCGGACGCCGATAGGTATGCCTGTGTTCTAGAACCTGACGAATGGTGAATATGTGGTCGATGCAGCCACGACCAGGTCTAAAGCCAGCTTGGTTCTCTCGTGTTTGTAGTTCACGAGTCTTAGTTAGGCGTTTGATAATTATCGAGGCCAGTATTTTAGATACTATGTTTGTTAAACTAATCCCTCTGTGGTTGTCACAGGATGATTTTGACCCTTTCTTATATATTGGGACGATAAGTGATTGCGACCAGTCAGATGGGATAACGTCTAATTCCCAGATCTTAGCTAAAATATTAGTCAACCTAATCGCTAAAATTGGACCACCATCCTTAAAGACCTCTGGAGCCAATCCATCTGGACCAGCTGCCCTTCCTCGTTTCAGATTAACTATAGCCTTCTCAACTTCAGCAAGAGTTGGGGGACCTACTTCAATGTTCCATTCACTTTGTCTGGGAATGGAGGGTAGTTGTAGAGTAGCTGAAGGCCAGCTGAACTGTTCTCTAAAATGTTCCGCCCATCGTTCTAAACGTCTGGACTGGGAGCAGATGAGAGTATCATCTTTTTCCGAAATAATCTCACTTACACTTGACTTATTAATTCCAGTTTCTTTTATTAGTCTGTAAAGCTGTCTTGTGTTCCCTATAGTCGCCGCCTTTTCCATCTCTTTTGCTTTCGTTACCCACCACTGCTCACGGTCGTTCCTTAGACTTTTTCTTAACCTAGATCTGATTTGTTTACGCTCTTCATCATGTTCAGAACCTGATGGGACGAGTTTGCGAGAATCCATCAGTGTGACAGACCTTGAAGAAATCCACTGGTTCCTTGTAACTCTGTGGTTTAAGTCACTAACAGATGTCACTGCTGTTTCCACAGCTGATTGTATGCCCTTCCAAGCAACATCTGGGTCAGCCTCGTCTTCACAACTACCTAAGTGTGACCTCAGTTGTTCCTGGAACCTACTTTTGGTTTTCTCGTTACTCAACTCAGTTCTAACGGGTCTTTTTAATGTGGCTTTTTTGCGTCCAGTGAGGCGCAAGCAGATGCGTGCCCGTATTAGGGCATGGTCGGAGTCCAAGCAGGTACTCCAGAATGAGCGACAATCTTCTACCGACCCTCTCCAACGATGACTGATGGCAATATGGTCTATTTGAGTCCATCGTTGGTTTGGTGTAGGGGGTCGCCATGTTAGACGATGTCTCTCCTTATGCTTAAAATTTGTGTTTGCTAAAAATAAACGATTGTCTGAGCATAGCTGCAGCAGACGATCACCATTATCTGTTCGCTGTGTCGGAATACTAAAATATCCACCTAAATGCCTTTCTGTTTGGTTTAAACTGCCTATCTGAGCATTAAAATCACCTGCTACGAGTACTATGTCTGAGCGTTTAGCTTTCTGAAGAAGTTCGGACAGCTTTCTGTAAAATTCATCTTTCACTTCATCTGAGCTGCAGTCAGTGGGAGCGTAGGCAGAAACGACAAAAATCCACAGGACTGAATGATTTACCATCCGATAATAATTCATTATCCTCTTATTTTGTGCCTGGAAGTGTGGGAAAATAAACATGAATAGATATTCCTCAACTTATAGTCTTAATGATGCGACAGATATTCAGCGCCTGACAAAGATTTTGTCTTTAACGCCTTTATAATCAAGGGACACCAACCCAGTCAAATAAGAAGTCAGGGATTAGTGAGTTCGAGGATATAAATATAAAGAAGCGTTTGATCTAGGCTCGCTAGCAGTTGCGAGAGGTGTGTAACACGACGTACCCAATGGTAATCTGATGCGGATGCGTAACCGAGTGTCTTCATCTGGGTGGTGTCCAATAAAACCAACCAAGGTCAGCGTCAGTGTCGAAGACTTGACTATTTATTTTGGGAATTTATTTACTGCTACAATCTTGATAAAAAATGATATTCAAATCTCCCTGGATGTTCACTGAAACCATGACTTTGGGATTCCATGTTTTGATTCTCTACTAGATGGTTCTTACAGTAGTGAATAATTTCTTGTTTCAAAATCCACTTTGGTTAGTTTTTGTAACCACGTCACTAATTCATTATTATCTAACAAACAAAAGACAGTGTAACTGTAGTTTACCATAATAACTGTTCCTGGAGGCGCCAAAAAATTTTTAGTCCTCGTTCTGAAGAACAACAAGGATCAATAATAATACTAATTATAGCTTTCCAGTCAAAGTAATCTTTTGCCTTCCCGGAGAGTAAATACTTCATTCCTGCAGTATTTTTCATCCCTCTCGGCTCATCTATTCTCTTTATCTTTTACAGCGTAGTTTGTCGAATTGGGCTAGCTGAATTGGCATGAAATTGAGCCAAGATTGTACATTGATACACTAATTATGTTAATACAATTAACAAAGTTTTATGTGCAGTTATACCTTATTACTATTGATCCTTCAGGTTAACGGTCTTTGGTATCAACGGGGTGATATTTCTCAAATGGTCAAAAATGGTTCACTTCATAAATTACTGTTTGCAAGCCTTTTGTAAGAAATAAATTGAATATAGTTACATTTGTAAAATGATAGACAAGTAGAACATAGAATCTAACAACTGACTGAGTCAATAGCTTAACAATGATATCTTGGATTTATTCTTTCCAACTGTGTTTCACATATTGTCAATTTCTATTATCTCATTTAGTAGCTTTTATTGTTCTATGGATACGTGTAATGTTTTTCATGAGTAGTAAGCAAGTAAATATGTAACACGTCAATAAACTAACCTTTTACTCTCTACAGGTCACACAATTTTAGGTATGAAAAAAACGCTCAACGTATACATTTTTCGTAAAAATATAAATCTGAATAATTATTAAGTTGGGACGTTTTTGTGTTTTTCGCTTTGTGAACGTAACGTTTATTTTCTGTCCTGGATGTTCGGTTTATCTTTGTATTCAATCGCAAACGTAGGTGTCTGTTTTTCAAACAGCATTGTTTAACAAGGTATTCTACATTTCTCCATAGGTTTTTGGGCGAATTTGATTAACGTGCTCACAGTGGGCTTTTTAATATGTGTAGGAACATTTTGCAAGGAACAGTGTATCACCGTCTTCGGGATTTTTATCGCTTACGAACTTTATGCCGTTTATCAAGTAAGCCGTATTGTTGATTACCCATATTTCTAGAAAATTTTATCAAGTGGACATGACTTCTCGTCTAATAGTTTCAAAGACAATTTCCAAAAAGACAAACCGTTCAAGGATATAGTTTCATCTGCTTATAAAAAAATTCAGTTTAAGTTGTTTTCACCAGCGTGGTTTTCATGTGCACCCGTCTACAGAATGTTCATTCTTCTAGTGTTTTTCATTGCTATATTGATTGCACGTATTAAAATAATGGCTGGACAGTTGCCACATTTTACAGAGTAGGTAGCACTGATTAACATACTTTTTTCCTGACTATTTTTTATTAATCATTATTGTCTAATACGTTTGTAATCCCCCATATTTTTAATGGTATGGTACTGATAGTGCTTTCCAACACTCATTGTACGTGCGTATATAAGTTTGTTATTTCGTTGAAAGATGTGTGGTTTGTTGATTCATCATTTAATCAAATATTTCAGCGCATCTAATTGTGAAGCGTTTCTCAACATTTTCTGTTGTATCACTGGGTTTTACTTACTTACTTACTTACTTACTTACTTACTTACTTACTTACTTACTTACTTACTTACTTACTTACTTACTTACTTACTTACTTACTTACTTACTTACTTACTTACTTACTTACTTACTTACTTACTTACTTACTTACTTACTTACTTACTTACTTACTTACTTACTTACTTACTTACTTACTTACTTACTTACTTACTTACTTACTTACTTACTTACTTACTTACTTACTTACTTACTTACTTACTTACTTACTTACTTACTTACTTACTTACTTACTTACTTACTTACTTACTTACTTACTTACTTACTTACTTACTTACTTACTTACTTACTTACTTACTTACTTACTTACTTACTTACTTACTTACTTACTTACTTACTTACTTACTTACTTACTTACTTACTTACTTACTTACTTACTTACTTACTTACTTACTTACTTACTTACTTACTTACTTACTTACTTACTTACTTACTTACTTACTTACTTACTTACTTACTTACTTACTTACTTACTTACTTACTTACTTACTTACTTACTTACTTACTTACTTACTTACTTACTTACTTACTTACTTACTTACTTACTTACTTACTTACTTACTTACTTACTTACTTACTTACTTACTTACTTACTTACTTACTTACTTACTTACTTACTTACTTACTTACTTACTTACTTACTTACTTACTTACTTACTTACTTACTTACTTACTTACTTACTTACTTACTTACTTTGTGTATGCTGAGGCCTACTGATGCAGAGACTGCTGCTACACTGGCTGTCTTCATCTGCATCTGTTCGTGTGTACGTGATAGGAGGGCTAGGTCGTCTGCGAAGTCCAAATCGTCTAATTGATTCTGAGCTGTCCATTGTATTCCGTGTTTTCCTTCAGATGTCGAGGTCTTCATAATCCAGTCGACCACCAGAAGAAAGAGGAAGGGAGAGAGTAAACAGCCTTGTCTGACTCCAGTCCTTACTTGGAATGCATCTGTCAGCTGTCCTCCATGCACTACTTTGCACTGTAGTCCGTCGTATGAGTTCCGGATAATGTTGACAATCTTCTCAGGAACTCCGTAGTGTCGAAGAAGTTTCCATAATGTCCTCCTATCTACACTGTCGAATGCCTTTTCATAATCAATGAAGTTGATGTATAGTGATGAGTTCCACTCAACTGATTGTTCGACGATGATCCGTAGTGTTGCAATTTGGTCTGTGCACGACCGATCCTTACGGAATCCAGCTTGTTGATCTCGAAGTTGGGCGTCTACTGCATCCTTCATCCGGTTCAGCAACACTCTGTTGAAGACTTTCCCTGGTATTGACAGTAGTGTAATGCCTCTGTAGTTTTCACATTTGCTCAGATCTCCTTTCTTTGGAATCTTGACGAGGTGTCCTTCTTTCCAGTCCATCGGCACTTGTTCCTCCTCCCAAATCTTTTTGAATAGAAGGTAAAGCATGCTTGTGGTTGCTTCGATGTCTGATTTCAGTGCTTCAGCTGGTATGTTGTCGGGTCCTGCTGCTTTCCCGTTCTTGATTTGTCTGACGGCCATTCTAATTTCTTCCGTCGTTGGTGGGTTGACATCTATAGGAAGATCTATGTGTGCTGCTTCGATGTCCGGTGGATTCATTGGAGCCGGCCTATTCAGGAGTTCCTCGAAGTATTCCACCCATCTGTTACGCTGTTGTTGAATTTCGGTGATTGGCTTGCCTTCTTTGTCTTTGACCGGCCTCTCTGGTTTACTGTATTTCCCTGCTAGTTTCTTCGTTGTATCGTGAAGCTGTTTCATATTTCCTTCTCTAGCAGCTTTTTCTGCCGTCGTTGCTAGTTCTTCCACGTATTTCTTCTTGTCGGCTCTAATGCTCCTCTTCACTTGTTTGTTTGCTTCTATGTATTCAGCTTGTGCTTGGACTTTCTCTGCTCGTGTTCGGCTGTTGTTAATTGCTGCCTTCTTGTTCTTCCTTTCTTTGATCTTGTCCAGTGTTTCTATAGAGATCCATTCCTTATGATGGTGTTTCTTTAGGCCCAGAACCTCTTGACACGTTGAAGTTAATGCTTCCTTGATGCCTTTCCAGTTGTCCTCCATACTAGTTTCTTCTTCTTCAGTAGATCTTGTAAGGCTTGGAACCTGTTGTTGAGAGCTATCTTGAATTCATTGAGTTTGTCAGTATCTCGAAGGAAGGCTGTATTGAACCTTTGTAGTGCTGTTTGTCCACTTGTCCAGTTCTTTTTAGCTTCAGTTTTAAATTGGCTACAACTAGGTGGTGATCTGAAGCTACGTCAGCACCTCTCCTGGTTCTCACATCTTCCATTGTCCTTCGGAATTTTTTGTTGATGCAAATATGATCTATTTGGTTCTCTGTAGTGTGGTCCGGTGAGATCCATGTAGCCTTGTGTATACGCTTGTGTGGAAATATTGTGCCTCCTATGACCAATTTGTTGAATGCACACAAATTTGCAAATCTTTCTCCATTTTCGTTTCTTTCTCCCAGTCCATGTCGTCCCATAATATCTTCATATCCAGTGTTGTCTATTCCGACTTTGGCATTTAGATCTCCCATCAGAATAGTTAGGTCCTTTCTTGGCATTTCTCAATGATTGACTGCAGCCGCTCGTAGAACTGATCTTTAATGTCGTCGTTGCTATCATTGGTGGGTGCATAACATTGGATAATATTCATTAAGATCCCCTCCTTCTTTGTTTTGAATGATGCTTTGATGATTCTGGATCCGTGAGACTCCCATCCTACAAGTGCATTTCGTGCTACTTTGGACAGCATAAGAGCGACTCCCTGAGTGTGTGGAGCATTGTCCTCTTCGTGACCGGAGTATAGCAGCATCTCTCCCGTAGCTAGCCTTTTCTGTCCAGCTTGGGTCCAGTGGGTTTCGCTGATTCCCAGTACTGCTAAGTTGTATCTCCTCATTTCCATTGCTATTTGACTGGTCTTCCCGGTTTCCCACATTGTTCGAACGTTCCATGTACCTATAAAAATTTTTGCTCTGGTTGTTAGAAGGGGCATCGGCCTCGTGGCTTCCGAAGGAACTCGGCTTTCACCATGAAGCGTCATAATTCTTCTAACTGAAGACCTTCTAACTCCCAGGGCAGAGTTTAAATGGTTTGGATTATTTTTTCTGGTAAGCGTTTTTTTAGCGAGTTAGTTTTCTACGGGATGGGGACGCTAACCCCATGCCCAACCCTCCTCCTTTACCCGGGCTTGGGACCGGCAGTAACCCTATAAGGGCTACAGGCGGAGTTGGGTTTCCTAATAGTTTAAATAAGAAATTCTCTTTGTCTGGGATGATAGGCATCAGAATTGCAAGACTATAAGTGATAAAACTCAATGGACTTAATCCTCATTTAAATTTTGAATAATTCAGTAATATCCATTGTCCTTGGCTATCTAACTGAAGTCCTTTCGTGGTGTAAAACTAAAAAAAATATTCATTCCACCTTTTTACCTAGTATATTTTTGTTTGTTTCATTCTCTTTAGATTTTGTTTATTATGCTGTCAAATCCATTCACGTCTATACACAGTTGAAATGTTGATATGTTTAGCTGCATCAAAACCTTTCTGTTCAGATTGTATTTTTAACATTGCTCGTTCATATTCCCTTGGTTTTGATAATCTTAGCAGTTGTTAATGTACTCAAAATTGATTGATTTTAATACTTACATCATATCTTTCGTTTTATTAGAGTAGACTATTTCATTCCTGACACTGGGCTCTAACGCTTATATGTAGAGGGGTAATTGCTGATTATTGTATGCACTTACTTATGATTCTTAAACTACTGTATCTTTTGTATGTAGGTTTGATAACCCAGCTTCTCATGCACCTCCACTGACTCGTCGCCTCACTCATCTTTACCTGGTTCCTGTTAATCTAGGCTTATTAATATTCCCTTCTAATCTATGCGCTGATTGGACTTTGGGAAGTCTAAAGCTTATTCAAGGCTGGGCAGATCCACGTAATATTTTGACGCTGATGGCCTTCAGTTTCATCTTATTGCTAGTTTTCATTACTGTTAATTGGAAAACACCTTTACATCAAGGTCGAGCTGTATGTATGGTATGTTATTTTTATAGCGTATTGTTCATCACTTATTCTTGAGAAAGTTTTGCGTGTGAAAAAAGGATGCATAATTTATCAGTATGCGTTTTATTCTCACTTGTTGTAACTAAAGCAGCTTAAGATTAAGTCGTGATTGTTTTATTTTTGTTGGTTAATTTATGATACTGGACTGCAGTTAACCAAGGTTTTATTATATGTCATTCTTTTCATAGGCTCTGAGTTTGATGATATTTCCCTTTATACCAGCCAGTAATTTATTTTTTCCCGTTGGTTTCGTTGTTGCTGAGCGTGTTTTATACACACCAAGTTTGGGCTTTTGTCTACTTATTGGTTTGGGTTTTGAAAATCTACTTGGTCTTAAGTTTGTCCAGATAAACACTATGACAAATTCAAAATCATCTGAAGTAAAGAAAGTTTGCAGGTAATATAAATTTCAAGACTTATTCTGTTGGCTTTTAAACACTGACTGAAATTCTTTTTCATAAATCCACACTAGGTTTATTCAACATTGGTTATGTTCAAAGAGAGATTCGTTTTTATGTTTAATTTCAGTCGGCAGCTCTGAACGAAACACTTTATTTTTTCATCTAAAGTTTATAGCGAATATCCAACTAATATGATAGTTTTTACTACTAATCGAAACCAGTTTATCAACTATTGAGAATCAGACATCACCGAGTGTCATTGTATGGGCCTAATAAGGAGTTCTTTCTCGGGATCGTGACAAGTCTTTTATTATTAATTTTCTGTGACCACTAAACTGCTGGTCGATGAAGGCCAAAATGCTCAGTATTATTTCAATATCAGTCTGTTCAGTATACGGTGACTCACTTCCTAGCTAAGCACAGAGGTCTCAATTGACAGCTGGAACCCTTCGTGTGACCATTAGCTCACGGGTTTGATTGCATACAGAATCCATAGTTAGCTGCGATAAGCCCTTTCAAATCTAAAATAAATGTCCGATAGACTTTATTTTTTAAGTGTACACAAGCTGTCGTAACTGTTGGGATTTACAAGCTCGGTCCAGTCACAATACATAAGCTTTTTTAAACGCTTGACCGAACCGATAAGGAAACTAAAAATATGTTGAGAGGTTTGTGCTAGAGATTAAATAATTATATACATAAATCATATGTGTGGATAGTATTAAAATGATTCAGATTAAGAAATATAGGTGGTGAATAATTATCACAGTCATACTACCTTGCCGGGCTTTACCTTCCTCACTTCTATGTTCCCTTGAGACAACATGTAATTTGTATTAAATCGCCCCGCCTATAGTAAGCCTTTAGTGATAACTGTCTTTGAGCATACTTCATTTATCTTACTAAATTTGAATTATTTTCTTCACTACAACCAGATGGCAGAATAAAAGCAGACCTTCTAGAGCGTTTTTAGATATTGTATGCTTCATTTTTTTCCATTTAAATGAAAGAAAACAGCAGAACCCCTGATCAAAGTCAAAACAAATTTGTCTTAATCTCTATTAACTCATACAAATTTTATGAGCATTTAAATGTCTTAGTATTGTTATTATTCGGAAGAAGACTAAATGAATGGTAACTGCCAGGATTGATCTATGGACCATTATATATATATATATATATATATATATATATATATATATATATATATATATATATATATATATATAGGGTTGATCATGTATAATTGATTTTTTATGGTGCGATACGGTCTGGTCTGTTTGTATATCAGTTAGCTACAACTTGGGACCAGGCGCATATATGCATCGATCCAAGTTGCCATACCTCATTAACACAACAAGATGGACACCGGATTCATAAAAGTAGTTAATTCAGTGGTGGTAATATATAAAAGAAATATTGCATATAATTGCATATAGTACAGGAAGAAAGAATTAGGTCGTAGAAAGAAAGATATGAAGTGATTTTAATCTCTTAGTTTAAGGGAAGACAAAGAGTGTATACACCGACGCCATTGTGATCGATTCTGAGCCATGTCGCTAAGAGTCTCCAACCATTGGTTACGATAGTGGCGCCGACCCCAACCAAGTAGTCTGCATCTACCAAAGTGGCTCAGACTAGAAGTTAGTGTCTTCAAGTACTGATGCCAAGTTTTGGCTTGGGCGCCCTAACTTTCTTCCAACGATCCCCTGACATCATTAATTCTCTACTGTATATCAGTCCACGATGAATTCTAGGTATTCGTTCTGGCATGACAGGGAAGCTTCTTGCCTGCGACCAATTCTTTGAACTATGCACTAAATTCACCAAAGTAGACGATGTTTCAAGACAGTACTTTGCTCACTGACTATCTATAACTTGTGTCATATGACAGTCCATGGTTTTTGGTCAATTCTTCTGAGATTTCTTGTTACATTTTTATCTATTCCTCCGTGGTCACGATGGCTGATTTGGTGAATGAAGAAGAGTCAGAATTTTTATCAAAGTTTTTGTATTCAATTACGTAAACTAAATGTGGTGAGTTTGCACATACTTTTTAAAACAACTTATTAAACTTCTAATTTTGGATTCCATATATGTTTTTAGCTTCAAAAATGGTCTTCACTCTCGAAAATATCCTCGAATCTCAATGGGACTAGTCATTATCGCATTCGTTTGTAAGACTGTTAGACGCAATACAGACTGGTATGCTTCTTTGAATATATCTGTCAGTATATATCATTCATTTCTTGTTAAAATATGTAATAAATCATGGATAAAATGTTCTCTCTATCCTGACCAATTTATTGTTTGATGAAAAATCCCACAGTGCCTCAGTAAAACATGAAAACCGTACATTAAGTACATTATTTGCACATATTCCATCAGTTGGCCTGTACATACTTCTTGATTCTTCTAATTCTGTTTTTATTCATATTGCCTTCTGTTTCCCTCCTTGTTCTCTTCGATTCAATCTTCTGCTAGAAAGCATTCCACTTTCAATCCCTATTACATACTACTTATGTATGTCCGCATAACTAGCATACGCTACATATTGTCGAATATCTCGGTATCAAGTCTAACAACCCAAACTTCACTATTATGATAATCGTTTGCCAAAAGAATAAAGTGATGTGAAACTCGATTCATGTGGTCAAAATACATTGGTTTTTGTTGTGGTTGGATGCCCTTTATTTATCAACACCGCTTTTGTAACGTTAAGAAGATTCAAAACAGAAGAATGAGGCTCCTAATGAATTACATTTGTGCTGAGTAATACCACTCTATCATCCTTACTTGAGTTATTCTTATCTTCTGCTGTGTGCCTTTATCCTTTATGAGGCTAAAAATCTTAATTATCTTGGATTTTCTAGGTCGAACGAATACAATCTGTTTACATCAGCGTTAAAAGTAAATCCTAACAATGCCAAAATGTGGAATAATGTGGGGCATTCTTTGGAAGCTGAAGGAAAGTACTCAGAAGCACTTGGCTACTTTAGAAAAGCTGTCAAGTACGTTTCATATTCTCTCTAGCCCACATTCCTTTTGTGCCTAGCAAATCTTTTATATCAGACCATTAAGTATAAGATAGATATCTGTCGTTAACTTTAATATTGCCTGTGGTCGATAATTATCATTTCACAGCAAATAGTTTCCCTGATAAATACTTTCGCTTCAATTCCTTGTATTAACTTACTCTATTATAAACATAATTTGATGTAATCATAATTCATTTCAGTTGTCGAAATAGGTACATATCTTCTCGAGGTTTCAGACGATCCTTGTGAATTTGCCATAACAATAAAAAACCTCTGTTCCGAGCTTTTCATTGATTTCCTCAGATTGATCATGGAAAATTATTATCCAATATTTTCAAATGTGTCAGCTGTATCCTCTGACTTTTGGTCCATCTTTAATTGATATAACTCAGTCATCATTTTAGCAATGTTTAATTTAACCTGGTAATTTCTTAACATATACTTTTTATACTAGCCTCTCATTTCTTTTTGTAACCAAATGTTTTTTTCGAGATGGGGTTGTGGGTAAATATTATTTTCTATGGGTAACATCAATTCGTCTTTCGAATTCGATAATCTCACTTTAATCCGACATGCTCCGTCTGGCTAAAACCGTATTAATAACTTTCTATGCATTTAACGTTGACATGTCTTCTAATGGAACACTAATTATTATATCTGATCGTCGCGGATTATTTTGTCGGAATCACTTATCACTTATACTCGAAAACGAGGAAACACTGCAATTCCCACGACGCGAAAGTAAGAACACCACAACTGATACAAGTAAAGATTTATTAACCCCGTAACACGACGACGACGACCGTAGTCGAAAATACATATTTATATATTGATTTGTACATCCATTTCAATTATTAATTAGTACGAATCACATATATGAAAAATACTTAGAAGTATCCCATGCTACATGTCTTGCTGTGCATGGTTTATTTCAATTGAATACAAGAATATCGTATATCATACAGAATAAAATATCATAAGGGAAACAAAACGAATACTGCATAGAGTAATTATCACATTGAATTAAGAAGGAAGTAACATTGAATAAAATATTACAATGAGTAAATCAATCTAATTTTGACTTTTCTTCCCGTCATATCAAACGGATACTAAATTTGGTAGCCGGAAATTTCCTCATTATAAAAATCTTTCTACTTTGCTTAAAATCCGCAAAATAATTGTACATAATAATTTCATTGTATACCTCCAAATTATGCATATTCTGTAGTGTTCAGCCAAATGATATGGGCGCTCGAATTAATGTTGGCCGCACATATGTAAACCTGGGAATGCCAGATAAAGCAGAAGAAGCGTATTACGGAGCGCTTGAATATTTCCCTAAACCAAAGAAAGGTATGTATGCTGTTTTTTAATAATAAAATAACTAGAAACCAAGATTAACACTTGTTAACCCAATTAATCTGTAGAAATATTGTAACGACTGACATGGACGAACTGATAATTTATTGAAAGGATCAACTATCAAATACCAACTTCATAAATTTTCTTCTTGTGCTCTACTAATTACGAACCTGTTGACACTAAGCTGTATACTTCAAAAACAATCAATAGTCCATGCAACTTCTATCTCGTTCCCCCAACTACCAATCAGAACCCTAGGAAGATTATATAAGTACCCCACACTATCCTGGACTGTTTGAATTTTAACGTCCATGTGATTATTCACATAAAATGCAAAATTGTGGTGCACAATACTTACAGAACTAATACATTTAAGATACAAATATGAATAACAGTTTTATAACTAATTAACAGTAATTTGTATGAAAAAATATATGGCGATAATTGGTGTCAGATAAAATTTTAGAACTAGTACAGCCTAAAAATACCGTAAATCAGTTATTTAGTACAGTCTAGAATTGTATACACTGATGCACTGGAAGACAGCTTCCTAAGTTTCCCGTTTCCATTTATTTGCTCATCCATATTACACTCGAGATTTTAAAATGTAGAACCTTTAAAGAATTAGCTATATAGATATATTAAGTACTTGGAGCTGTTATGTATATGAAAAAATACTGAAACAAAATCGTATGACCTTTATTTGCTTGTCACGTAAAAAATAAATAACTAAAAGTGGAAGTAACTGTCTCAAAAATCAATGTTTATTCAACTGTGCTCGTTATAACAGTTTTCGACAAGTTAATGTGGTATTGGCTATTGTCAGTGTAATCTGAATGTTGTAAAATATATTTTCATGGATTATGTAGTTGGATGGTTTGATGAAAAGAATTCCTTAGCTGATAGAAAATGTTGTTACACAGTTGAAGTAGTATTACTTGTTAAGTCTAAACGTATCAGTAATTATGATGAGTAAAAAAGGTGCTGAATAACACTATTATGTTGCGGTTTATCAATTTAAGTTCCCAACCCTAAACTCAATTATATCAAGTGTTTTAAAAGGGTTTCCTTCACAAAGTTTTTGTGAGAAGGTAATATTACTAAGTTGCACACCATAAATATGACCTTTAGTATACCAACTTATATACAGTTACTTGAATTGCACTATAAAGTCTAGAGAAAAATTTGAGATTAGCGACTTTATTTGGAAATATCCGAGAAATTATCTCATTATAATGGTTTTACTTTACTTTTTCTTAGGGTTCACCGTCGGACTTTGATTTGTATTTGCTTGTCATAATCGTTTCTCTTAGCTCGGTCGTCTACTTAAAAGATTCCCTATATTTCTAGTACAAATGCTTCTGGTTTCTCAACACACTTGAGGCACGACGAAACGATTTGACAATTTATTTCTGTATGTTGTATCATAACAAATCGGAGTTAATTATTAAAAAATAAAAGGCTAGTAACCTTCCAAGACATTCTTGAGCTTATTATGAGTGATGTTTGGTTTACGATTTTTCAGGCTTCCTTTAAATTCTTTTTTAAAATTTGGTCGCTGACGTACGCTGATATTATTCAGTGTTTGATTTATACATTTCATAGGTCAAACTTATTATGCTCGTGTTTCTCCCAAAGATCTAATGGTTTTTATCAATCTTGCCAATTTATATATCACTAAATCACCCCCGAGGCTTGAGGATGCTGCTACTCTTCTTCGTCGAGCCATTTCACTGCGATCTGATTTTGTGGACGCTTACCAAAACTATGGTAGTGTACTTATCAAGTTAGGAAGGTAAGTCCACAATCTGAGCTCAAGAAAAGATGCTCATTTTCAAAACATTGTATTTGGCTGGTGATTTATATCTCAAATGTATATAGGCAAACAATACTCCTCCCAATAAACTAAGGTCTTCTGCTCAGTTTTTTAATTTATACGGCAACCTTTTTTGTCATCAAAAGGATTCGGAACCTAACCACTTTTGGCAGATTGCTCTTAACTAAGTGGATAATTGAAAAAGAATGGTTGATGTTAACTCTAATGTCCGTCTGAACTTGATTCTCAAAGATCAGACCATTGGTAGTATTATATACACCTTTACCCTTACTCACTCTGGAGGGTGCTTATCAGCACAGTAAAGTTAATCGATAGAACATTAACAAAATCTATGAACAGGAGCAGTTGAATTGCTAGATATACAGCGAATCTAAAAGACGAATTATCAGAAGGGGTTTTGTGGAGATTTTAGAAATCTCACTGATTGAAATCATGAGTCAATTGAAACTAGACCATCATGGAAAACCTAGAAGCACTGGACGGCCGTTTCGTCCTAGTATGGGACCCCTCAGCAGTGCGCATCCATGATCCCGCACTCCGCGAGATTCGAACCCAGGACCTATCAGTCTCGCGCCAGGCGCTTAACCAACTAGAATCTCGCGGGATCGTGGATGCGCACTGCGGAGGAGTCCCATACTAGGACGAAACGGCCGTCTAGTGCTTCCAGGTTTTCCATGGTGGTCTAGCTTCAATTCACTCATGGTTTCAATCAGTAAAAGACAAATTATCTAAACTGGCCATCTTTTTACATACTTCTGCTACATTCAAAAGTGTACAAGTCCGTTGAAGTTAGTTACGTAATATGCCCAGTTGTGTGCTATTTGTTCGTTAATTAATATCAATATTATCTCAGTTTCTCTTAGTCAATAGAATATAATGACTAAAATGTAACTTCTCTGGTAGTTTAGAATCTCAGCTTATTCATCTTCTGGTTTGTTAAATTCACCACAGTAATATTTTGTCTATTTCTTTTATTACTCAAAACTCTAGGTATAAAGAAGCTGAGGAAGCGTATAGAAATGCTTTATTGTACCAACCGAAAAGCCCAGATTTAAATTACAACGTAAGTATAATATATTGTTACTTCATCTCCGTGCATATACCATGCTTGGAATCTTGCATCATATTGCTTAATAAATTTATATCGCTTGTTGTCATCGTGCAGTTTCCGAAACATCCACTTACAATATGAACATTAATACTCAATTTATTAGGAAATCAAGAACTTTAAATTCAAGCGAAAGAAGTAAATCCAGTATAGTGTAAAAGTAAACTAACACCTAAATAGTAATTAAATTGACAAAACATTATTCCTTGTAGTACAATACTTATACCAGTTAATACTTGTGGAACCACTAAGATATTTACCAGAAACGTGTCAGAATCTATTCAGTTCAAAGAAATAGTTTTATTTGGATGATAACAAAATAGCTCTCATTCATTAAAATTAAAGCCATTCCTATTTGAAAATGGTTTACAACACCAACACATTTGTGTTGACAATCTGTCCATTCTTGTTCTAAGATGCATACGAATATTATTTAGGGACGGTGTCGAAGGTTCATATTATAAATGATCTAATGAGGTAAATGGTGTGGAAATATAACTTCCGAGGCTATCATACGAGGGATTATTATTTATATTATTGTATAATTAGTAGACGCTTGGATTATTGTATTATTCATTGAAATCATGAACCAATCAGTTATTCTTTATTTTTGTATTCGCCTATCGACAAGTAGCTGTCATCCGTCTCATTATTTCAGATTTATCATTAATTATTTTCACTGAAATCATAAACTGATCTAAGTTAGGCCACTAATGAAAACCTGGAAGCACTGGATGTCTTTTTGACATTAGTACGAGATTCCTCATTACTAAAATTAATCATTTTCCCATTATTACGATTTGATTTCCATTATGGTTAATTCATGTACATATTGTGATATTCAAATTGTGCTGCTATGTGGTCAGACATTTCAGTTATGATATTGTGAGTTTTTAGTCCTGGTTAAAACAGAGTACAATAGGGAATTAATCTGCTTTCTATCTTCGCCTACTGATTGGATACTCGGTTAAGTGCTCAAAGATAAATAATTGTCAAGATCTTGGTTGTTGTTCGCTGTCATTTGATAAACAGGTCACTGGTCCTACTGATAATATAGACGAACTAATGGATAACTGGACTAGATAGAATAAGACTACTGTAATGATTGCACGATCACGCGTCCCCCAATACAATCTAAATACCAATTTCCTCTTTTCGCCATTGAATCAACAAATGTGCTGGGCGATGTGAAACTTAATATAAGATGTTTGTAATAGCTTTTTACTGGTAAAGCACAAGAAACAAATTCGCACGTTTATTTTCTTTGGGAACAAAGTTAGTCTCAAGGTCCAGAGTTTTAGAACGTTATTAAGCAAATGTTTTTCATTTTTAAATATGATGTATTCATACTATTTCCTCATGGAAACAGTAACGAAACTGGTTGTTCGTATGCATTGTCGCTTTGACTAATTGATGGTTTTCACCGTAATGAATAATTGCTAAATTGGATCTCTTTACATTTCATTAACATTCTCTTTCAGTTGGGAGTTGTCCTCTTGGAGTCTCATAAGAAATCAGAGGGTTTGTCTTATCTAAACACTGCCTTAACTTACAATCCACAACATGAGGTATGTTTTATGCTGAATATCAATAGTATTACTACTCATTCAAAAATATTATTCATTCAGCTGAATTTTAGAAAATAACAAATTTCTTACTAAAATCATTTGAGCTCTCAAATATTCGAATTATTTATTCCCTAAATTAGACTTACGTCAGTGGGATAGCATTTGAATAAGAGTGACTTTTGACAAATACACTTCCAATGTTGATTGCCAAGGTTTGTGTTTTGTAGTTGTTAATCTGTAGAACTGGTTAGGTCAGTTACTATTGGCATACACATTAAATAGACCACCAGATATTGCTTGTATATGTATCGCTATTATATTGTGGGGAGACTGGTAGTGAGATTCAGTAAGTGTATTTACTGATATTTGAAACTTATCTGTTGAGTTTCTCTGCATCAGCAAACTTCAGGGCCACCAATGAAACGCGAACTGAGCATCTATTCCTTGTGATGAGAGAACAAAGCATTAACCAATAGACTGTAGAGCTGTCACTATTATTATTTTCAGTGTTATTTGTTCATTTATTGAACAGAACTGGCTAGCCTACTATCGATGTAAGGATTGTGCTAAGGAGTTTGGAATCGGTTACGAGTTTCAGCAGATGACGAAACGCTTACAACAGATCTCACTGCTGACCAATACCAGATATGGCCATTTGTTAGTAGTATACATTATCTCTGATAAACATACAATTTCCCCTGAGAAAAATACGAATGGTAAGTTCCTTAAATGAGTAGTTCCAAATACAATGTTAACAACCTTTGATTTTAAAAGGCCACTGAAATCCATTATTATAGAAACCCTTAAAGATACTGCTTGTACTTCTTACTAATTCCCTACTAAAATGTTTTAAACGCACAGATACATGCTAAAGCTCGGACGCGAAACTCTAAATTCACTAGAAAAAAAATGATCTGATAAGTTAATAGAACATAATCTATAGTGAATTTTGGAATGTAAAGTTAGGAAAGCCACGTGAACATGTAAATATTTCACTACAATAACTTTTTTTAGAGAAAAAATTAACAGTAATAACTATTAAAGTGAGTTCTCACTGACTATATCGATTTCTCTTATCATATTCAGCCTTCCCTGTTTGCTGTTGCATCAACTCTTGGTGAATCAGCTAATCCTGATGACCAGCTAAGAGCAATAAACATGCAAGTTAAACAAATTTTTGATAATTTGATTCTTTTACAGAAATCATTTTCCTCTTAAGAAATAAAAAAGAATCAGAATGTTAGGGATTTTTCATTGATGTTTGTTAGAACAAAGTGTTGATTTATCTTTAAACACATAGATATCTGAATTTAATTAATTCAAATGTGAAAACCGATGGACGCCCTGAAAGTCATACTGTTTTGGATTTGGTAGACCATGTACTAAAATTTGAGATGAGCAGCAGATTATCAAGTCCACTTACTGATCACTAAAGAGATTTTTCACTCTCTATAAGTCTCTGTACTAATTATTTAATTTTAAATGAGCATCAAATCTATTGGCCTTATTGTCCAAAAACTCATCGAGTTTGTATTTACTGCTGTTTTTTATTTATAGCTATGAACATCTTCTCAAACAAAATTTTGAACCGATCAAAGTACATTTCGCTTTGGGTATGTTACAAACTGATAAAAAGAACTATATCAAAGCATCTAAACATTATCAGGATGTTATTATTGTAAGTGATTTATTTAAACAGGTATGATTATTACTTCAGAGCAATTTAAGAGACACAGAATTTACTTTCTAAACAAAAAAATCTTATGCACTTACCGTATATCCCGATACTACAACATTAACCATCTTATTTAAATCATAAAACGATCAATGTTAGACCACCATTGAAAGCCTGGAAGCACTGGATAATGGCTTCGTCCTAGCATGGGACTCTTCAGCCCTGCGCTAACTACAACTCTGCACGTGGGATTCGGTCCTGCGCACAAACACTTGACATCTAAACCACTGAGCGGGAATCTAACGGTTTTAGTGACTGACTTCAATCAGTCCACAATATATTGCTGGACCATCTTTTATCGTCTACGGGGGGGGACTGCCTCACACCAGATACGATTGAACTACACTGGTCATGGCTTCTCACTAGAACTCCTGAAATTTCCCCAGTGAGCACGTTACTTGTCAGTAAAGCGTTGTGGAGATTGTTTAGTTTCAATCGAATCGTGAACCAATCAAGGTTAGACTACGACCTTAGCTCTTCATGTGCATCTACCGACCTCTTACTACATCATTCTTTATAGTTGAATTATTGTACTGTAGCCCGTTTTGGATTTTTTCATCATGTCATTAGTTTATAATGAACGTTCTGATCTTCAAAAGTAATGCCAACGCCGCCCAATGATGCATGCAATGTAATTAGATTCTATATACGGATATATCATCTCTTATTAAGTTCAGTGTTTCCGTGTAGGGTTCAGGTATTCGCCTTTCTAAAGAAGACTTTTTGTCCCAAATGTACTTTGATTAACCCTATTTCTTTGTTACTATTCTAGTTTCGAGCATTGTGTCATATATGCTGTTAACATAACGTGAATTATATCGTCGAAAACCAAGATAGTTATAATTTTGCTAGCGACTCGTACTCATTTTCGTACAAAGAATTCGTGTAACCTTTATTTGAAATTAGACACTTCAGCAGGTCTTAAGATTATAAGAGACTACATATGACTAGATGCAGATACCACTTTACGGATTATGTACAACAACATACAAAACTGAACTGGTGCTGGTTGACCTATGCTGATGATAATGTCAGTAGCATTTGCAAAGAAGTAATTATTGTTTGAGTTGTTCCAAAAGCACTTAACTCGTTTATTTTATTGTAGTGAACGAAGACTTGATGGCGAAAACCAATTTATTTTTTTTATGCCAAATCACATAGTGGCATTGTAAAATTTGTATTAAATACATCGTTTTTATATCTTCCCTCAGTTATCATTTACATACTTCATCATTCTTGCGATCGTGTTGTTCTCATTCCTATTTCTGTCTGTTTCCTTTCATCTTCTTATTTCACTCTTTCTGGTAAGCATTCTAGTTCGTGCTACATACTACCTATATTTGTCCGCATAAGTGCAAGCCGCATTATGTCTACTCATTTTTTCAATCATTAATCTACTGATTTGTAATCATAATGATTATAACATTTTGTCCGTTTTAGATTACATACGTGTTTCTCATCCGGATTTTTTTTACCTGATATTTTTTATTTTGTCGTTTTTAAGCTGGATTCTGATCATAAAGGTTCATTATTTAACCTAGCTCTACTTTATCGGAATCATCTTGGAAAACCAGATGATGCAAGGAATCTCGCACTTCATCTTATCAAGGTAAATTTAGATTTATATTTATTAATTTTATGCACCGAAAAACATTGACAGAGATTACTGTTTTATTAATTCAGTCAATGTGAATTATTGGAGTGATTGAATAAATATTTTAGTCCTAACTAGTTTAATTTTAATTAATTTTTGTTATTCTGCTTGTTAAATGGCTGAAATAATTGTTTAGTGCTTCGTACTAGAGCTGAAAGTTAAATGCTTAAACCACATCAACAGAATTAAACGAAAGATGAAAACTGATAAACGTCTTTTGTCATTGTTCATTTTGGTTATGTGTGATCATATCTGAAGAGCAATGTTTCATGCACTTTGTGACAGAAATTTGTTATTTCTCTTATATGTGTGACTTTTTCTTTTACAGGTTCATCCTTCACATATAAAGTCTTATTTACTTCTCGGAGATATAGAATTAACTGAAAAAGCGAACATAAAATTAGCAAAGCAAGTAAGCCTTTAACTGTAAATCTATGAATTTGTTAATGCTACCTCATCTTGAACATATTTCAACATAAACTTACCTTTTTCCTACTTAGTATTTTGAAGAAGCGCTAAAATTGGACCCAAAGAACATTCAGGCAAAACATAACCTTTGTGTTGCTTTGGCAGATGAAGATGATCTAGAAAAATCGGAATCATGTCTTTTAGAGGCTATAGCTATGGAACCAAAACCTCAAAACTATTTACTACAACATCTAGAAATTATACGTGGACGTCTGCATTCTCGTGGAAAACATGCATATACCAAGTTAAACAATGATAAGTAATCGAACTATCGAAATCATACATGATTCTAATGTTTAAAAACTGTATCCATTGTTTCTGTGCTTAGAAAACTGTCTTTTATACGGGAATATCGACAAAGGGACACTATCTATACGTCGACTATACTGTCATTAGCACCCACAAATACTTTTCTTCGGATCAGGTTGACGGGCGCATATTAAAAAGTGCGATGATCAAGTTAGGTGGGGGACTAAGCACACAAGGGTTTAAAGTTTGATCGCTTCGTCTATTTGACCAACCGAAGCTCACTTATCCAAACGTTCAGTGTATAGTTTACTTACTTACGCCTGTTACTCCCAATGGAGCATAGGCCGCTGACCAGCATTCTCCAACCCACTCTGTCCTGGGCCTTCTTTTCTAGTTCCATCCAATTCTTGTTCGTTTTCCTTATGTCTATCTCCATTTCCCGGCGTAAACTGTCCTTTTGTCTTCCTCTTCTTTGGCCTTGAGGATTTCATGTGAGGGCTTGTCTTGTGACGTGGTTGGGTGCTTTCCTCAATGTGTGTCCTATCCACTTCCAGCGCTTCTTCCTGATTTCTTCCTCCGCTGGGATCTGGTTTGTTCTCTCCCACAGTACGTTGTTGCTAATAGTGTCCGGCCAATGGATCTGAAGTATTTTGCGTAGACAATTGTTAATAAACACCTGTATTTCCTGGATGATGGCTTTCGTAGTTCTCCAGGTTTCTGCCCCATACAGTAGAACTGTCTTGACATTTGTATTGAAAATCCTGACCTTGGTGTTGGTTGACAGTTGCTTTGAGTTCCAGATGTTCCTCAGTTGTAAATATGCTGCTCTTGCTTTGCCGATCCGCGCCTTCACATCTGCATCAGATCTACCCTGTGTATAGTTTACTCTCAACAAATACTGTAAATTCTCGAATTTAGTAACAATTTTTTTCCCTATTACTCCAGTCATGTCCCATATATCTATTTTGAACAACGAAGCTGAAAATCTAGTTGGCCTGCTTAATAATTCGCATAGGGTTCTGCGACAGTGAGGCTTGGACGAATTGTGTTTTCTCACTTACTGTTAGATATCATTGCGATATGGTATTCGCGACCCACTCATTGACCCATATATATATCAGCGAACTGACAGTATGGGCCTTCTTGAAGTTCACTTTTATGAGTATGAACCAAAATATTTATAAAGTGATAGGTTTTAATTAGTTATATCAATGAACCTTAGAATCATTTTGCGAAGCCAACTTAGTTGAATTATGTGAAATGGTCATCTGAATATCATAGATACTCGCATTCCCGTGAGCATCCTACTTTACGATAATCCCACGATCTCACTAATTATGAGTTTTACAGTTGATATCTCGTTCGACCTACATTTAAACATGTACAACTGACTGACCATTTTCGGAACAACAGCTCTCTTCACCCGCATGACGAGGTGATCAATATGGAGTCTCTGTACGCTATGGATTGAGATTGATAAACTTCAAACATCAAAATATGCTATACTCTATAATACATGTTTTAGACCCAAAAACATACATGCTATCTGAAAATATTTTTATGAATTGGTCATTGGAAACCGTTTAACTATGCAGTCCTCCATGCCATCAATCTGTTCGAGGTCATTTTAAGGGCATGAACACTAAACTGGATGATTCGTACATTAAAAATGAGTTAACCTCCCTATTGTATATGCAACAACTAACGCACACGAATACAGCCACTATAGCAGTGGTTTCAGCAGAATTACGCGGCAGTGTTTACAAACGAAAAGCGAAATTCAGAAGTATAAGGTAGACAGCACCAACCAAACCACACTTTATGGGGAAGTTGTGAAATAGGTGCAAGTCTTCATGTATCTGGGTAGCATCATTAGTAATCAAGGAGGATCTGATCCAGATGTGAAGTAACAAGCTAAGAAGTAGAAGGCCTGAGTCGATAAGTAATCAGAACAGAGAACTTGCGAATTCTTTCGCGCCTTCAATCTGTCCGAGGTAATTTTATGAGCACGAACACGGAACAAGATAATTGGGAGTCCCAGAAGTGTTGATTCATGTAAGGATATTGGAAAATGATATAGTTTCGCAAAATGGTTTTTGCTTCAGAAGTCGGAGACTCGTGATTCAATAGAATTTTGTGTGCAAAAAAATAATTCGTGAAAATACATTTTCAGGCTTTTGTCTGGAACTATGACAACGAGTTCATCTAAATATTTAGGTATTATTGATGTGTGCTGTATATCGTCACTAAAGGTAACACAGAAAACAACATTATATTTACATCGAAAAAAGTTCATACGTTACAATCACATTCTATCAACAAAACTGTGCAATAGGGAACTTGTTTATAGCAACATTCGACGAATCGGTATTTCTCTCCTGTAAGTGTGAAAAAATAAAGTAGATCTTATTTTGTCACTTACCAGTCGGACAGTAATTCATTGCACAATGACATGCGCTGTCTTATTTCTTTCGATAATTCTTTCAAATTTGCAACACAAGGAAGTAAATGTTTTAGCTCTTTAGCCTCAAATGTCACGTCGTAATCTGAAAAAAAGTTGTAAATTTTTGTTCAAATGATTGATTTAAACAAATAGGTCAGTTATTGATAATTTCGACTGAATATTACTCAGTGTCAATAAACACTTGAATACTTTATTACTTCATATTGACCAAAACTACTGGAACAAAAGTGTGAAGTAAACACGGTTATTTGCAACTGATAAAGATTTAAAATCTCAGTAAGAATTGTGACACCCATGAAGCATTGCGACTTTTTGAAATTTTGTAAAAATAATCCTGGAATGAAAATTACTATATTTAGATATAGAAAAAATCATCCTATCAAGTTATAATGATAATGTTGCATTACAAAGAGACAGACATCTTACTTTGCAGTTTTTCACTAATGAGAATTTCTTTGTTTAAATTCATCAAAAGATAGTGTAACAATTTTAAACTATTTTCAGCTAGCCAGCTTTCTTTGATTTGTGTTAGAATACATTTCAGCAGGACATCTGGAATCTGTAATACAAACAGAAAATCTGAAAATATTCATCTTCAGAATACATTTGTTATTTATAATAGTCTAATTGTGTCATTTAAAAAGCCTGAAAAAGTATTTTCACGAATTATTTTTTTGCACACAAAATTCTATTGAATCACGAGTCTCCGACTTCTGAAGCAAAAACCATTTTGCGAAACTATATCATTTTCCAATATCCTTACATGAATCAACACTTCTGGGACTCCCAATTATCTTGTTCCGTGTTCGTGCTCATAAAATTACCTCGGACAGATTGAAGGCGCGAAAGAATTCGCAAGTTCTCTGTTCTGATTACTTATCGACTCAGGCCTTCTACTTCTTAGCTTGTTACTTCACATCTGGACCAGATCCTCCTTGATTACTAATGATGCTACCCAGATACATGAAGACTTGCACCTATTTCACAACTTCCCCATAAAGTGTGGTTTGGTTGGTGCTGTCTACCTTATACTTCTGAATTTCGCTTTTCGTTTGTAAACACTGCCGCGTAATTCTGCTGAAAAACGCGTCAATATGCACCCGTCAAAAGTTAGGCTTTATTTGGAATGTATCTGCATTGCAGTCTATCTTAATGATTCTGTATGTCGGTAACGATCTTCTCAGGTATTCCATAGTGTCGTATATAAGCCCACAAGGTTTTCCTATGCAGGATGTCGAATGCTGTTTCATAATCAAGGAAACTCATGTATAAGTGATGAGTTACATCCAATTGTTTGTTCAACAAGGATTGTCAGGCTCCCGATTCGGCCGGATGGATTTTTCATTCGGCTTAGGAACTCGAGAATATTACCTGGTACTAGCATCAGCGTAATCTCTATGTAGGTCCCACATGCACTAAGATCATTTTTTCCGTATATTGGTGAGAAACAGAACATCTTGCTTCTGAATCTGACTTTAGTGCTGTCGGAGTTATTACTTCCTCAATCTTTTCTCAGTTGCTTGCAATAATGGTCTCTTCTTACAGTAGATTTGGCACGTTATTGCACTTACCTATCTTAAGCTCATTTAACCCGTTAGTATGTCGAAGGAAAACTGTATTAAACCATTGTATTCACGCTTGCCGAATCGTTCAACACTTTAGTTTTAGCTTGGTCTTCACCAGGTAGCGATCTGAAGCTATATCATTTCTTCCATTTGATCTAACGCCTTCAATGGACCTGAATTTTTTATTGATCTAAACGTAGTCGATGTGGCTCTCCGTAGCGTGGTTCGGTGGAACCCATGTACTTTATTACTGCACATGTGGGAGAAAATGCTGCCACTCATAACCATGTTTTTGGAAACACAGCTTACTAGTCTCTCATTATGTTGATTCATTTATCTGAGTCGTTATCTGCGTCCGTACCCGATTTTGTCAATCCTGATCTTGACATTTAGCTCCCCCTGTCATGGTCGTTAGATGTTTCTGTGGGCATTTCTCTGAGTTGGCATCTAACATATTTACTGTTATCATTCGAGGGTGGGTAGCACTGGATGACATTACTTTAAATTCTTTTCTTTAAGAGATGCTTTGATGGTTCTGGATTTATGGGTTTTGCGTTCTATGAGTGTTTCCGTGCTTCTTCGGAGAGCGTCATTGCAGCTTTTAGTATGTGGTGAGCATTTTCATCTTCATGACAAGAATACAACGCCTCTCCCAAAGCTGGTCTTTTGTGTCCAGCGGGTTCTACTTATTTCAAGCACGGCTAGGTTGTATCTTCTGACTTTGAATGACCGTCCTGGCTTTCGCCATGAAAAGCCAACTTGGCCATGTGAAGACCGTTAGACTACTAGGAAAGATCTTAATTTATTTAACGTTTTTCCAGTGCGGTTCTATTTTACGGAGTGGGTGTGCCAAGCTTTCCTTGGTGTTGAGATCGGGAGTAGCTGCAAGCGGAGTTTCGTCGCAATCACCAATACATAAACATCTTGGTAGGCAACATTTTTATCCAAGTGTCTAAAATCCGATGATTTATAATACAGCGTGGATCGTATCTTGACTGTTAAAGCTTTTAAAATCTCAGTACAGGTGCATGTTTTTGTTGGAATGGTTCCTCCTAGATATATGGTTTGATTTTTAAGTATGCGCTTAACATATGGTCCAGAAAACATTTAAAGCTTCTTAATGAAACCATCTAGCTCAAAGAAAACATTAAGATCTCAAAAGCATTGTTGGTTAAATATACGTAGAGACGTGGATAGACAAAAAGTAGTTTGTGGAACTCGGGAAAGCAATATGCTAAAAGACTTACAAATTATAGTTTGTAGAAATATATTTCTAGTAGTAGTTGTAATCAAGAATTACTTGATCTTACCTTAAGATTAGGATCAAGAGAATATAAATTACAGCAATTTATGTATAGATTGTCAGCATTTAGAGTGTCGACGTAAGTATTCCCACTGCAGGAAAAAAAAGGTAAAACGGAAGATAAATGCTGTAAACAATTAATAGGCATTGGTGATAGTGGGGTTAATCCTACAATAATATGTTGTAGCCATGTGGCAGTGCAAGTTTGGAAATGCTACCGACTTGTCTCTTAGTCAAGAGAATTGTAGTACCTACATGGTCAACACAAGCATATCTGCAACTGTTTGATAACCGAAAAGCGAGATTCATTTCAATGTCAATGATCTTTTGACATTACTGGATCCCAATAAATCATGTTATACATAAATATAATCCTTGATTACTCAGGCATACGTTATTTTACTGAGCGGAAATAACTTTACTTACTATCTGTTTCTTTAAAATTTCGTATCAATGTGTTCATTCACAATCCACAATACACTGATGACTTTATGATTATAATCATACAGTATTATTCCATAGCGGTCATCTAATTGTGACTAGGTAATTCAAACATTCGTTAGAAAACTAGTAATTTAGTCCACATTTCCACCATGCCACACTTTAGAATGCAAGCTAGCAACGCCTTGCTAATGAAAAACACAAAAGGCTCAAACAGGTTGTTAAAAACTGAGTTAGCCACTTCACTTGGTATTGTTTTGCCACTGCAAGGTCTGTTTTAATTTAATCCTATGTAAATACAATAAATGATAATACATGTAACTGAAGTTCAAGACAACGATAGCTTGGTTTTATTTACTTTTATGTTTGGATGTTAGTACTAAGTTTATAAAATCTATCCTGAAATAACAGCGATAATTAAACAAATGGCGACAAGAAACAGCCAGTACAACAATAAAATTGCTTTACTTATACATCTAGTTACTCTTGTCGACTGTGAATTTTTAACGTCATGACGTGGTAAGTAAATTTGCATTAAGCCTTCAAACTTGTATAAATCTTCGAATCTATAGCTGATTATCAAATTTAAAAGTTGTACACCGTTTTACTCGTCTCATTTTTGTTAACGTTCTGCATCAAGTTTTTCACAAACAACTTTGAATATATATCAATTCAAGTTGCCGGACCATATCGACTGTATGGCTGATAGCGAAATGATGTATTTGCGTTCAAAATTAGGTCGAATTAACAGGCCACCCGTTAAACGATTCTCTTCTTTATGCTTAAAGATGTTGTTTGCTAAGAATAGACGGTTGTTCGAGCCTAGTCATAACATTGCGTTGTTTAGGGAAACACCTTACTGCCATCACGCTTCTGTATATTCCTTAACACTACCTCAGCCCTTGAACATGAAGTTGCTGTTTTTTAATCGACCTGCCTAATTATTTGGGCTAACTCATTCATCAGGTGCTTGGATATGAGCCACATTCTATGCATGAAGGCTAACAATCTTACCCGGATGCCCATATCAAAGTATGTAGAGCGAAGTTCAAATCACAGAAATCGTAATGAAGAGCCGAATATCCTAACCATCAAGCCACCGCTCCACAATCTGTTTGGCATGGTAGGATCTACAATAAAAAACGTCCCAGCTAATATAATTTAGTTGGACCATGAAGATATGCAACACGAACACGATGTCAAGGTATCTATGGAAACAACTAGTATAAACACAAGCATTTAGTTTCACGCCTTTTAACTGGGTAACAAAGACAATGTACTCATCATTATGAAATCCGCTAAAGTGCTGTTTATCAGTCTGATTAAGTTGCTGGTTCTTTGCATACGTATAAGTTTAGAAACCTGTTGTTTGAATATCTTGACTTATTATGGCTACTTTAAATTATCATGATATGTGCTCACGCATCATCGACTTGTATTAAATAGCTGTATTATAGATACACTACTCAAGAAAGAAATTATAAATATATTTTGAAGTATCTAATCCGATAATTATTCACATTGAGAGGGAAAATAACACGATGTTTGCGGTAAGTATGTAGATATCAGCATTAAGAATCTGTGGATGGATTATCCCTACAAAGATTTACCTGGTAAATGTTCTTCTGTCGAATGAAATATCTTGAATCCTTTCATTAAAATCCTGCAGTAGATTGTTGCTTGTTAGTTCATGCGCCACTTTATGTGTATCAATTATCTGACCCGATAGTTGTTGCTTAATTTGTTTCGTCTAATTTAAAGGGATTTTATGAGTGTTAAGAATATGACCGAATGAAAAAAAAAATTATTTAGACACAAACATCGTTTAAGTAGAAGTGAACAATAACATGGTATCTGACCGCGTGAAGGAACTCCGAATTTAAGCACCGATTCTTGTACTCAGTTTACAGTCACGGACTTTGCATCCTAGTTGCGCGAATTATCACTTGGCTACACTATACATCAATTCAAGCAATAGATCATTCATAAACCCATTATATTTTTTACGAGAGCGGCAATTGGAATAGTCAATCTTCAAAAACAATAATCATATTAAGTGAGTAGATAATCACAGCTAAAGCTTTTCAAAATACTTTTGGAACTTAAGCATCACTGACATTTTGTCTGCCGAATTCCTCCGTATAGTGTGTTTCGCTTTCGATCTAGTCTTAAGGTCATTACAGATATGTTCCCATTTAACAACTTTACCTGGGTCAATCGACTTTTACCGCTTCAAAAAATCTCAGAAATATTTGTTGTTTTGAACAAAGCTGGGCCAAGGTAGGTTATCATCAAGGTATCAAAGCTGGATATATATCATCATATAGTCAGATGACTTATTTTCGCATCACACCAACTATGTGGATTTTTGTGAGTTCGAAGGTGTATTGCTTTGTAGACACATATTTAAGGTATATATGTATCATGAAAGTGACGCTTTCCTTGAGGTGTTAAGATTTCCTGATAATTATTGAGCTTAATAGTGAGAATTTCTACAGGATTAATAGGTTTGATAAGAAACAAATCAAACTTTTACCATATATCATCAAGTAGGTGTTTATAATAATAATAATTTTTCAGTACGTAAACGGATAAATAAGCATTTTGTCAATTGAAGTTAAGATAAAATTCACCTACCTCACGACATAATAAAGGGAGGTTATCTAACAGCTTTTCATTTTCTTCATGCAAACGGCGAATCGTTTCCTGTTTCTTTCTCTTTAAATATTACAAGAGAAAGACTACAGCAATTTCACTCATTACTTTTTATTTTAGAGTTCGTTTTTAAGATTTTTACCCATGTGAAATATTATAAACCAAATAAATATGTGATCAAATTGGACAGAAGTGAAAAGAGTATTGTTACTAATCTCGATCTGACGGTGTTAGGAGCTACCAGGCTAAATGATACGTCTCTATGCGTAAAATTGGTGCTAGCTAGGAATAAACGGTTATCTGAAAACGTTTGCAATAGGTTGATGATTTGTTTGCTTGAGTAGGACGCCAAAAGTCTCACTAAGTGTCTAAAGTTTGGCCAATTATGTTTACTTGAGAGCTCAAGTCACTTTCGAAAATAATGAAATCCATCTGGTTGGTTAACAAGTTAGAGTTGAATATGTGTTACATCTACGAAACAGTTCGAATTCTATTAAATATTGCTTAATGTATAGAGCAAGGAGGAAATCGAAATCAAGGATTAAATGAGTCGTTTAAGTTCTAGTTGTGTAAAATGGCCATATCATCGCTGTTACTGCTACTCATGACTGATAAATATAAACTTCATTGTGTTGAGATTACTGAGTTTTGTCAGTTTATCTGAAATTTGAACGTGGATTTGAGTTCATATGCTTACTGGATAACACGTTCCTAAACCTTGTGTAAAAAATGTGACAAACATCTCCATTTCGTTTTAGTAAATTCATTTGTAAAAGGTCCCATGTTTCACATTTATAGTAGATAACTCGAATGTTTTATTATTATTACACCATTGCTACAACTGATGGCAATGCATCGCAAATAGCACATGAGCATCGCGAGAACTAACTACTGCATAACTATTAAAATTAACACATTTTTTATGTTATTACAATTAAGTAATTTGTCAATATGCCTCATCTATGAAGTCAGGTCTTATGTTGATGAAGAGTAGTAGCCCGTTCAGTTGACTTAACTTTCTTACTCGAACCTACATGCCTAACCTCAAAATAACTCAATCCGTCATCCTACCTAACGCGAGCAATACCCTAACAATAACTATGATCATTTACTTACGACCACACTTCTACTTTTAAAGGTAATTTTTTACAATCAAGGAGCGATACAGAGCAAACTTCTGAGTAGTGCATTTGTCTTCGAAAATAATCTTCAGCTTTCTCGAGTCCAGATATCCTTTTTTAGGTGTACATGTGCATAAGGGGATAAACTGACAGGAAACAACGATGGTGAGCAAAATGAAGAGACAGACAAGCGACTTGGCAGAATAGGAAGAAATTTTATATGTCCTGATAATGGATAATTAGCGCCCCAATACACTTTAATAACTGAAGGCATAGAAGGCCTTGCATTTACTCCAGAAAATTGATAGCTACCTATTAGTGATAAGGATTCCTTAATGTAAGCGGTGTATCTTTTTTATTAAACGTAAGGATGTAGTGTGATCACAAAACTGATGTTGGTAATATCGGTTTAGGTTAAGGTAACACGTGTGATGACCGCACTGAAATTTAGATTGGTTAAAAAACACGAACACTAAGACAGTTTCTATTATTTGACCTATGACCAACTGGTTATTATTAGCTACCCAAACAACTTGTGTCTGGCATCGGTAGCTTGCACCCTAATATCTGTTCTGCATACTCTCTTAATGTTATCCAGTCGATAGTAGAAGACACTTCTGAACATTTGAATCGGAATCTACCACGTGAGTGAAAATAAAGAATAGTTCACCTCGCCAATTCTTCGCAAGTTTAACCAAATATATTTTAACACCAGACAAAGTTTTAGTAGTTCACAGCCCTATTGCGATTCTTAAGAAAATTTATTTAATTTAATGAAAGTCGATTTACTCTGAAAAGTACAAAAACTAGCAGTTGGTTGTAAATATGTCTAAACTCTACTCACCAAAAGACTTTCAATATCCACCATTTCTGTGCCTAGTGATTCATATTCAAAAAGGTTTGTTTTGCTACATTCTACGTCCAACTTTAACTTCCCGATACGGTGCTTCATGTAGTGGACCTTTGTCTGTAGCGTTAATAATTGAAGTTCAGCATCTAAAAAGTCTCTTGACACATTACATTTTTGTAGTTGAATGCGCTGGTAAGATAAAAGATAAAAACGGACAGTTAAAACTGTGATGACACCGGTTATAAGATTTGATTCTCTACTTATTACAATGATAACAAAAGCATTCTTTATATTGTAATTTAATGCCAGACAGATAATTTACTTGTGTTATCATAAGCACGGCAGGATATAACCCACCTTTATCTAGCGATCAAATAAGCAACTAAACAGCTCACGATCTACTAACTAAAGCAAGAAAACATGAGCAGCTTTGTCACCATTTCTTAGTCTTTAACCTTAGAAACGAGTGACGTGACGCGATCCACTTAATCTAATATGGTAGAACACATGTATTCAAACATTTACTACCAATACCTTGAGTTAACACCTTTTAAATTAATAGTTATATATACGTTTTTGGAAATTGACGAAAATATGGTGAATAGATGCCAACTTACAATATTCAGAGATCCTACATTCATGTTGTTTCAAATCGTGCTCTGGACAATAAATCACAAAGCATGTTTAATGGTAAATGGACTTTTTGGTTGTCAGTAAAATTTCACACTGAAGCTTCAGAGTAGTCAGAAAATATGTACTGACCGAAGTTTGTACAACAACAAAGTAACTACCAGAATAATATGTGCTCAACGACAGATTCGGAAAATGAGGAAAACGATTAGAATCAAAAAGTTCGTAAGAGCTAAAGGTAATCACTTACTTTTAAGTTTTGAAGCTCGGAAGAAAGATTAAACAGATGTTTTCTTTTCCTGCTGATTTCAAGAAAACTTCTTATATGAGACAGTTGCTTATCCTGCAGGAATTTATAATAAAATTGAACTTACAAGTGGAACAGTAGTGCTAGTCCTATAATATAAAAACACATTGAAAAAAGTATTGTATTCAAGCTCTTACCTCTTGTAACACACCGATTCACGTTTTGTGGATTCAAGCTGTTCAAGACTACGAATGACAGTTAACTCTAGCCATTTTGCTAGGTCACTGCTTTTTTGTGAGACATACAACTCACCAATACTTTGAACTGAATCAACAGCGAACTTCTGATCACACATAACTGTCAGTACATAGTAAAAATAAAAAACATACTTGGTTTAATAATTCCGTGGCCGATACATTTTGAGCACTTTCCAAATTACTTGAATGGAAAAGTAACTACCATTAGAAAACGATTTACTTATTTTTGAACAGAAAACATAGCAACTTTTCAAGCAAACGTGAATTAGATTGTAGTTTCGACAAATGATTACCAATTGTTGTAACGATAGTCCCCATTAAAGTTGATTGCATAAGCAAACGACTCATACTGTCCTCCATTGTGCTAAAAATAGAGTGAGGTCATACTAGCACGTCGGGATAGTAGGTAAAAGTTAACATACAATACAGGCACGGGGAAAAGGCAAGGTCAAATCGGTAGGCTCCTTCGAATCTAACCGCCGTTTTGTTTCAACGACCTTGAACGGCCTGATTAGAGGCAGTCATTCCGTATTTCAATTGCCGTGGGTTTGTTGGTTGAACGAGTATAAAGTTTTTTCATATTTCAGTCATCTTTACCTGCGTTGAAAAGCACAAAATAACTGTCAAAAGCAATAATTTAGCATGCTCTGTCTTGTAGTGTACAAGTTGTCTCTGTTGTTGCTTCGTAACTTGATCTGTGATTGCAACTGCTGTAGTAAACCTCAACCAAATATCAAGTCACCGGTAACTCTTAAATATTTATAGTGCTTCCTTCAGTTACTATTGTTTCAAGGAGTAATTTTTTATAATTTCAGGAAGGGTTACACTTGTATAACCAACCTGCTGACTGCGGTGGACAGATGGACAAGCATCCTCGATTGCAAGGGAAAGGTTGATGTCATCTACCTTGATTTCTCAAAAGCTTTTGATAAGGTTAACCACTTGTGTCTTATCAACAAGCTCAAACGACTAGGTATCAAACCACCCCTAATCGATTGGCTTACTTCATAACTAAAAAATCGACACTTTAAGGTTAGGGTTAATTTCACTTTATCTCAGGCTATGGAATGTCCCAGTGGGGTCCCCCAGGGCTCAGTACTAGGGCCTCTTCTCTTCTTGATCTACATAAATGATCTTCCTCAACAGGTAACGTCAGATTTATTACTTTTTGCCGACGACGTGAAACTTTGGAGAGAGATACGCAACCAAGACGATACACAGGCACTTCAGGAAGATCTGACTCGACTTCAAAGTTGGGCAGACGATAACGGACTTACCTTTAACACTTCAAAGTGTAAAGTAGTCCATCTGCGACATGTTGCAAACTACAGTTATAACTTAGGAAACTCCTCTCTAGTAGTATCTCAAGTCGAAAAAGATTTAGGAGTTCTGGTGCCCCATGATTTGAAGTCTTACGCCAACTGTGACAAAAATGCCTTCCGAGCAAACCTTGCACTGGTAACGTCGAGGCGCATTTTTGGCCAGTTTGACGGAAGAACTTTCCACACAATCTTCAATAGTTTCATCCGTCCCCATTTACAGTACGGAAACATAGTACTCCCCCCTCACTCCAAAAGGACAAGGTCACTTTGGAGCGTATCCAACGGCGAGCCACGAAATCAGTTCGAGGACTCAAATCTAGACCTTATGAAGAACGCCTCCATTCACTAGACCTTTACCCATTAGAGTATAGGCGTCTTAGAGGTGATTTATTAATGGCTTATAGTATTCTTAACACTTATGGACATCCTCTTAAACACCTACTTAAGCTTAGTTCGAATAACAACCTAAGGGGTAACACCCAGAAACTGGAAACACAACATAGCAGAACGGACTGTAGACACAATTTCTACTCCTTAAGAGTTGTCAAAAGCTGGAATTCGCTGCCAGCCGAGCTAGTCCAAGCGACTTCTCAGGAGTCCTTCAAGAGGCAACTTGACCTATTCTTAAGGAACAAGGACAGCATCACATTATGATTTACCAATTTCTTTTCCTCTTTTATTGTTGACATACCTAGGTTCCTGCCTGGAGGATTTGGTGATCCCCTGCTACTAGACACGGAAGCCTGTTAAGCGAAAGCTTCTTCTATTCCGTCCACAACCATTTGAACCATTTAAGTGACTGAAGTGTCATTGTCAAGTGACATTTCAGTCAACTTAAATGGTTCAAATGGTTGTGGACGGAATAGAAGAAGCTTTCGCTTAACAGGCTTCCGTGTCTAGTAGCAGGGGATCACCAAATCCTCCAGGCAGGAACCTAGGTATGTCAACAATAAAAGAGGAAAAGAAATTGGTAAATCATTATGTGATGCTGTCCTTGTTCCTTAAGAATAGGTCAAGTTGCCTCTTGAAGGACTCCTGAGAAGTCGCTTGGACTAGCTCGGCTGGCAGCGAATTCCAGCTTTTGACAACTCTTAAGGAGTAGAAATTGTGTCTACAGTCCGTTCTGCTATGTTGTGTTTCCAGTTTCTGGGTGTTACCCCTTAGGTTGTTATTCGAACTAAGCTTAAGTAGGTGTTTAAGAGGATGTCCATAAGTGTTAAGAATACTATAAGCCATTAATAAATCACCTCTAAGACGCCTATACTCTAATGGGTAAAGGTCTAGTGAATGGAGGCGTTCTTCATAAGGTCTAGATTTGAGTCCTCGAACTGATTTCGTGGCTCGCCGTTGGATACGCTCCAAGTGACCTTGTCCTTTTGGAGTGAGGGGGGAGTACTATGTTTCCGTACTGTAAATGGGGACGGATGAAACTATTGAAGATTGTGTGGAAAGTTCTTCCGTCAAACTGGCCAAAAATGCGCCTCGACGTTACCAGTGCAAGGTTTGCTCGGAAGGCATTTTTGTCACAGTTGGCGTAAGACTTCAAATCATGGGGCACCAGAACTCCTAAATCTTTTTCGACTTGAGATACTACTAGAGAGGAGTTTCCTAAGTTGTAACTGTAGTTTGCAACATGTCGCAGATGGACTACTTTACACTTTGAAGTGTTAAAGGTAAGTCCGTTATCGTCTGCCCAACTTTGAAGTCGAGTCAGATCTTCCTGAAGTGCCTGTGTATCGTCTTGGTTGCGTATCTCTCTCCAAAGTTTCACGTCGTCGGCAAAAAGTAATAAATCTGACGTTACCTGTTGAGGAAGATCATTTATGTAGATCAAGAAGAGAAGAGGCCCTAGTACTGAGCCCTGGGGGACCCCACTGGGACATTCCATAGCCTGAGATAAAGTGAAATTAACTCTGACCTTAAAATGTCGACCTCCTTTGAAAATTGGTGTGATGTGAGCCAGTTCCCAATTTTCCGGTAGTTTTCCTCGACTTAGCGAGTGTGAGAACACCACGCTAAGCGGCGTTGCCAAGATTGAGGCTGCTTCCCTCAGTATGGCGGAATGGACCATGTCCGGGCCAGGAGGAGTGTTTAATCTTAAGTGCTGCAGTTTCCGGAACACCAAGTCAGCGCTCAGGTCCACTTCGGAAAGTCCTGTGGAATTGCAAACGAAACTGTCATCAGTAAAGTTAATGCCGGTCGGTTGAAATGTCTGGGGGTAATGTTCAGCCAGAAGGTTAGCGGCGTCGCCATCGTTGCTGGTCGGTCCGTTAGGACCTACCAGTTGAGAAACTCCAGTTTTGGCTTGACGAAGGGAGGCTGCATAACGGAATAAGCTTTTAGGATTAGAGGCGAATTTGTCCATAAGCTTTGTCTGGTACTGAAGTCTATCTTCTCTTGTAGCCTTCGTGCATATGTTGCTGATATGTTTATATTGCCTGTACGCTCCGTCGTTCTCACTCCGTTTGTATTCCACCCAACAGTGCCTTTTGCGGCTTAGCAGGCGAAGGGTACGGTTCTGGATTATTGTAGGTGGCTTGCAGCTTTTGGGAACCGTTTGAGGAACTGAATGGTTTGTAGCACGTAAGAGCGTGTGCAGTAAGAAGTCCCAATGACCGTCCACATCGAGTTGGGGGTTAAACATCCCAAACCACCTGTTGTAGATAGTCATGTAGAGCTGGCACATTCAACCGTTTAAAATTCCAACGCAAGTTATTGTTGGGATATCTTAGCTTAGTTTTGATGACAAAACTGAAGGCTATGACGGCATGATCGCTCTTTCCCAGAGGAGCCAGGATTGAGAGGTTGTCAACTAGGAATTCTTCGTTTGTGAATACACAGTCTAAGCGCGATGGTGTCTGACTGTTTCTCCAACGAGTTGCCGACCTCATATTTTCATATAAGCCCAAGTCATCGATGAGGTTGAAGAACCGAGCTTCAATTGAGTTGTCGCCTCCAGTGTACGTGTGTTCCGCGAAGTTGACTCTAGGGAGATTAAAGTCCCCTAGAATCAGGATGTGTGTGAAACCGAGACGAGTAGAGCGGGATAGTCCTTCCAGCATACGACTATCGTACTCGATGTCGGCAGTTGGCTTCCTGTAAATGACTCCGACTAGACACCTCGAAGTACTAGACAATCTTACAGAGCACCATATGGATTCCTCAAGATTGTTAAACTCGAGGTTGTGAACCTGGTGCACCTCCAAGCAAGAGCTTATGTGTATGGCTACTCCGCCCCCAATTCCTGTTTTTCTGTCGTTGCGGAACAAAGTCATCCCAGGTAATGCTAACTCTTGGTCCGAGAACTGAGAAGATATCCAGGTTTCAGATATTCCTATCAGATGGGCCTTATTAGCGTTGCTAAGTTCACGTAATTCATCCAGTTTGTTTGGTAGACTCGCGGCGTTCATATATAAGCAGTTTATGCTTTCAATTTGGAACGCGTGAGCTTCGTCCTGTTTTTCTGTATGAGCCTTATGTGAATGGACAGGTAGCCCACCTATATGAGGTTTGCCGAGGTGGTAGGCCCTGTCCTTTACACGTTTTTTTATCATTTAGACAGTCCACAAGTGGAATGGTCAGCTCCAACTTGCCTTTGTGCTTGGTCCTAGCTTCGTATGGCCTATCCGGGTGCATGTGGATTCCAGGTGGCAATCGACGTCTGTTGGAACGAAATGCTTCCAGAACTGCAGCCGCCATGTGGGAAGATGGGAAGGTTATCTTCATTAGACGGGGTCTAAGATCACCGTCCTTCTTGGCTAGTCTCGTCACATGCTGAGTCAGTATGTGTTTGAGCCTCAAGGACTGTTTGATGAATTTCCATTCCCTGATGTCAGAATTTGATTGAGTAGGGTCTGCATTTTCCGGTATACCTTGCACAATTATGTTTCTTCCGCGGAAAAACTAATCGCGAGATTCTTTAGGGGTGCTCCTTATGATATTGCGCTCAGAGTACGGTATGTCGGGCAATATTTTTACGTTACCATCGGATTTCAGCAAGTGACTTGCTAGCAAGACGTCCTCTACGTCGGTAGCATTCTTAAGTGTTACTCGGAGAAGCCTCGGGTGATTTAGATGCTTAGAATCCTTTCCTCGAGTGAGCCGGGTGACCGTCAAAGGCTCTATTCTAGGAAGTTCAAGCTTCTTGTTCAATTCACCCCAGAGCATCCTGTCGTTTTTGTCCTGCA